GGAATGCGATTCACATCGGTTAATAAAGTGAATAGATAAGAGAAGAATGCTCTAGGAAGATGCATAACTGTTTGTGCATGCAGTATATGAGTGGTAATAAAAAGAATATGGGATATTTTGATGATTCGGTAGTGGAATGCGAGCAACAGAAAGAAATGAAACTATCATAAGCTGGGAAAGAAAGAGAGAAATGAATCGTCTCATATATGTATGTTTCTCACTTGTACGTGGAAACATTGCTGAGATATAGGAAAGGAGATTGAATGATAGCTTTTTATTATGGATGGCAAGGACTGGATGATGATTTTGAATAAGCAAACCAATTAAAAAAAGTTAAAAAGATTGAATAAAAGCAATTGTATCAGACACTTTCATGCATTCGAGACAGGAGGGCGGGGCGGAGACGGTGTGACAGTGAGTCCGGGGCATCTTTTGCAATGAGTATTTGTTATCGCGATTGGCGAGTAAGAAAAAGTGTGGAAAAAGTACTTTTGAGAAAAAAAAGAAGAAATTGGATGAGCAAGAAGAAGAAGAAGGAGCAAAAACAGTTGTTTGTTATCATTTTTATTTTTAATGTTTTCTTTTTCTAGGTGACGAAGATATGCTTTTTTGTTACACAGTTTAATTCTTTCTTTCTGATGACTGAAAAAAGATAGCAGATAAACAGAAGCTTTCCTTATCACCATAATTTTTATTATTTTGATTGACTCATGTATCATTTCAAAAGTAAATATCATCACGTTGACTTCAGACTCCAGTTCTTTTCTTCTCAAAAAACAACAAGAAATCTTTTGCTTCTCCTCGTTAACCAGAAGATATGAAACTGTATTTTATTGTAGTCATCATGCATCAATATAGAACATTCGGCAGAGAGCGAGCCCCTTCTCACATGCATGTGCCAGTTTTTGCGCACTACAATTCGATAAAAACCGGCATATGCATGTGATGACGGGCTCGTTTTTTGCCTGATGTCCTTGAATTGATGTGTTCTCTGTATCGTCATAGTCACATTAAATGCAGAAGCGCGATACACCGCTACAGAACTAAAGCTAGAAGAAAACTTCTACACACCTTTTGAGTATAAGAGTATTTTTCGTCGCATATATCCGTCACTACCAAACTCAACTACCACCAGACGCTCAACGACATCATCACAAAATAATACTAATCGTGACAACTTTACTTTAAACCTAAGACGGGCAGCAATACTTTTAGCAGGAATAGCTTTATGTCTAGGTATACTACGCATTTGTTTAATGCTATGTAAAGCAAAATCAGCTAGTCATTCTAGTACCAGCAGTACATCTTCAACTCCCACAGCTTTAAGAAATAATGTAGGACAGCAACAACAACAACCGTCAGTCTCTCTAATTAACCTTGAGCATAAATTAGATCTACCACCAGCTTATAGCGACGTAATAACAAAAATGACGCCGACGACTACATCTTCTACTCCTGTTGTTCACCATGAAATTCTTCCATCTTACGAAGAAGTGCAAATTCAAACTGCAGGTTTACCTGAAATTCACGACACGTCTAATACAATTCGAGAAAATAGTATTTCTAATCAAGCTAGAGTAATGTATACTACTAATAATTGAAATTAAAAAGCTTTTGAACTTTCTTGCGAAGTTTTCCAAAATTTTAAGGGAGTGAGGCAATAGAAATAACATTTTAACACAAAACCAAAAATTTTTTATGCTATTTTTTGCAAAAGAAAATACGACTTTTTTGCAAAATACTCGAAAGACAACTTTTTTTTTTTTGTTACACAGTTTAATTCTGTTTCTTCCGTCTGATATCGGACAAAATCTACTTAAACTATAAACGTACACTCCTCTCTTAAAGAGGTGTAGGAACGTTTTCAAATGGGGTGAGGCTCAAATTTTTTTGGGCCGTCCAAGGTAGTCTAAGT